ACCACTTCTCTCACTATTTGATCTCAATCTCCAAGACTCATTCATTGGAATGAGTGATCTAAAGTTAAGTGTTTATCTTTCCTTTTTCAGATGTTTTCTACATCTGAGGCCAAAGTAGTTATACTAAACATAATTTACAGTGACCACTGTTAGAGATAATAGTAGAGAGGATTTCCTACATTAAATGAGAAGTTAGACTGTATATCCTCTGATACCCCTCATTTTTATTCTGTGGTTCATAGTGTTATAGATTTAGAGCTTGAAGAGATCTTAAAAGTCACAGAGGCCAACCTTTTCATTTTACAGTTGAGGAAACTGAGGCAAAGCAAAGTAAAATAACTTGCCCAGGATCCCACAGCTAGGAAGTGTCTGAGGCAAAATCTGAACTCAAGTCTTCTTGACTCCAGGCCCAGTGTTCTATCCACTAAACCACCTAGGTTCCTCTTAGCTGTTCTTTAAGAACACCTTCATTGCAGAAATGGTACTTGAGATAGATTTTGAGGGATGAATAAGGTATAGAGTATTGGAGATGAGCAAAAATTCTAGGTTAGGCACAAGTATGACCAAAGACATAGGTAGGAATAATAAAGAGGAAGATAACACATAAAAGGGTTTGATGTAAGGAGGAATGGCATCTACATAAAAGCAAGGTGAAAAAGTCAAGAGTCAGGAGCAGAACTGGGAGATGCGTGAGTATTAGTTCCTTAAAGAGTGGTTCAGGGCAAGAACTCACTAGTCAGAGGAGGGGGCTATAGGGATTGAGTACATGAAAGAAGTCGTCTGAGAAAAGGCTGGAGTGGCTGTTTGGAGGTAGATTATAGGGGACCTCCAATGTCCATGTGATTATACATTTTACTGAAGGCAATAGGGTGCCACTGAAAGATTTTGAGAAGTTAGATTATTTGGCTGGTGCTATAAAGAATGGATTGGAGGAGGTATCGAACAGAGAAGAGAGTATAAAGAGAAAAGAAAAGCATGCCAAACACAGAACCTTGAGGCACACTCAGGTTTAAGGGATGAGAGGAGGATAAGGAGACATAGATGTGGTAAGGGGCAGGAGAACCACCATGATGAGAGGGTATGTCATAGAAGCCAGGAGAAAAAGTGGGTTTCAAGAAGAAATGAATGCTCAAGAGCATCAGATGAAACAGAGAGGTCAAGGAGGATGTGGTCAGAAAAAGAGGGGAAAAAAGGATTCATCAGTAAGTAAGTCAGTAATGCACATAAGTAGAGTAGCAGGGATGGAAGCCACCAGGTTACAAGAGTTTAAATAAGTGAGTGCTAAGGAAATTGAACCAGCAGACTTTGAGAGGATAAGATAAGTTTAGGAGCAAAGTTAGAGTTCATATCAATAGGCCTCAGTATTCTGTAAGATAAAGTCATATTCAGAGAGTGTTGAGGGGGGAAGAGTGTTGGGAGCTTGAAAAAAAAAGTGAAGCTTTGGAACAGCCATTGTGGGAAATACAATAGAGTCAACAAGCTAAATAATGAGACTTGTGACAGTGAGGGCCCAGTTGTGTTTAGATTACAGAAATTGATAATGAACGCAGTACATTTTTGTGCATTATTCTAGCAGTATTCATCAACTCAGGAGTGTAGGGGGAAATGGAGGTAAATTGTAGGAGTTGATTGGGGCTGAAGATTAGTAGTATTAGAACTGCTAAAGAGGAAGAGAGTAAGGAATAGAAGGGTGCTATTAAAATTACAGATTGGTTAGGGACAGAAATGATGCCAGGGCAAGGCTGACAGATTGAGTGAATGAAAAGAAATCAAGAAACTGATGGTCTTAAGAGCTGGGAGAGGTGAAAAGTGGATAATGAGAGTTTTTTTTTAATTAAATTTTCCTTTTTACTCTCTGAGCTTGACAAACATCAACAACAAACATTTCCTAATACAAACAATAGATGAAGGATTTTTTGTAGTGCCATCACACAGCTTGTTTGGGTTTTTTTTAAATATATATTAAATTTAATATGTTGGTTCCAACTCTTCCCTCCTTATTTCTCTCCCCTTCTGGACTTTCTTCTGCTCTCTTCTATATATTTTAAGTGGTGTTTTTGTTTTAGGAAACAATAGTCTTTTCTTATTTTTTGTAGTGAGGGCTCCCCCCTCCACATGCACAAAAGCTCTTCCTTGTAACAGATTAGTCTAGTCAAGCAAAACAAGTGTACACATTGACTGTGTCTGAAAATTTATGTTTCTTCTGCACCTCTAGTACATCATCTCTCTGCCAAAAGGTGGGAAGCATGATTCATCATCTCTTTTTTGGAGTCATGATTTGTCATTGCATTGCTCATAGTTCTTAAATCTTTCATAGTTGCTTTCTTTTGTAATGCTGTGGGTCCTGTGTGCTGTGGGTCCTATGTGCATTGTTCTCCTGGTTCTCTTAAATTCACTGAACTATAGGAGATTGTGGTCAGAGAAGGCCATTTCATATGTCAGACCCTTGGAGACAGGACAGTTTCAGGTGATGAGGAGTTCTAGGATATGATCATCCTGGTGAATGGCTGAAGTAGAGTAGAGGTAGAGATGGTTAAGAGTTGGAATTTAAGGACCTGCAAGAACAGAATGTTAGAATGGGTCATCAACATGAGTCCTGAGGTCTTAGGATGATGGCAAGGAAAAGGGCTGAGAGGAAGACTGAGCCAGCCAGAGTCACGGACAAAGCATATAAATGGATAGGAAGGAGATGATATTGTTAAACAGCATGAATTTCAAAGGAGAAATGGAAGAGATTGAGGCTGCTTGTAGAGCCAAGAGTCTGAAAGTAGGAATATGTAGCAAGAAGTGTGATGATGGCATCTTTGTTCTATATGAGACAGGGGAAGTAGGAAAAGGAACTGCCATCTTTATAAGGGGCAACTAGACGTATGACATCCTCAAGAGAAAGTTTCAGTTAATGCAAAGATATGGTAGCAATATAAAAGAACCAGGATGAAATAAAGTTCAACAATGAAATAGGGGTGTGTGGACAAGGAAGGATAGGGACTGGGAGGAATAGGACTGAGATGAGATGGAGATGGATGACACTTCTAGAAGAGGTTGTTAAGTTTAATTAAATTTGCTTCTGCAGAGTCCGTGTCACAAAATGGGATCATATTGAGGGCGTAATCCTTTAAAATATCCAGGTATTTTTTCTCATAAATGCCCTTATGATTACCGTTTCCTGTACCTATGTAGTTAATTTTTTTAACCCTTTTCAGAGCTTTAGATTTATCTCTTTTAAATTTTATCTTATCAGATGTGGTCCACTGTTTCAGAGTGTTAGGATGTTTTTGATTTAAATTTTTTCTTTCAGCATGTTAGGCATTCTTCCTACCTTTGTATTGTCTGCACATTTGATAAGCATGCCATCTGTACCACCATCTAAGATATCAATGAAAAAAAAATTCTGCCCTTTGTGTTCTTTTTCTAGATTAGCTTCTTCTCTGACAAAAGTCTTTCTTTGGTGACTCATTTTTTAAAACATAACTTTTAGTATGGAACATTATAAAAGGGCTTTAGAAAATCCAGTAGGTATCTTTTGCTATCTATCCACGTGGCTAGTTGGGCTCCCAGCCATGAGTGTTTCCCCTTTCCATTCCATCTTCCACTTAGTTGTCAAAATTATCTTCTTAAAGTTCAGGTCTGACACCTCTCTCTCTCTCTCTCTCTGTCTCTCTCTCTTTCTCTCTTTTTCCTCTCGCTCCCCACTTTCCTTCTCCCTCTCCTCTTTCCCTTACTTCCCTTCCTCCCTCCTCCTCCTCTGAATGCAGATAGTACTTGGTATGTCTTAGGTCACTTATGTTCTGTACTGTATTATGATTATTTTTTATCCCTTCCCTACTAGATTATAACTACTTGAAAGCAAGAACAAATAGTTCATTTCATAGATTATAGAACCATAGCTTAGAGGTGAAAGATGATTTAGAGGCCCTATTCCAACTCCTTTACATCTTTCTCTCTCCTTTAGTGACCAGCAGAGTGACTTACATATGCTAAACACTCAACAAATATTTGATGAATGAATAATGTAGCAAATGTATAATGGGTTTAGATGCATAGGTTCCCAAAGTGGTCAGTATCACCCCCTGTGGGGCACTGGGATGATCCAGGGAGGTGATAGTAGTTTGAAATGATGCAAATTTTTAAAAAATTGAAGGGTTAAATAATGTAGATTTCCAGGGGGATGCTGAGTAATTTTTTAAAGGGGGGCATGTAAGCCAAATAAGTTTGGGAACCTCTGTTAGAGTATATAAGTGTACTTAATATGTCCTTGCTCTTATGTAGGGATAGGCCATAATTGTTTCTTTAAAATATATGATTCAAAATATAAATTACTTCCTTCTGGATAACAGTTATAATCCTTGTTACCAAAAGCTCTTTTAAAACCTTACTGAAAAGTATGTTTAAACTGAGAGTTCTTAACATAATGTCTGGTTTTTTTAATGTTTTGATAACTGTCCTTCAACATAATTGGTTTCCTTTGTAATCTGATGTATTTTACTTTATACATTTAAAAACATTATTTTAAGAAAGGGTCCATAGGTTTCACCAGACTGCAAAGGGATGCACAACAGAAAACTGAGTTAAGAATATGTAGTTTAAATGATGTGCCATGTCTAAGAATTGTTTCTCTATTCATTTTCTTCCCCTTATGCTAACTTTTCTGTAAAAAGTATTATGTTATGAAAAACATTCAATGAAAATTTTCATCAGAAAGCTAAGCACTGTGTTTGGATGTAAAAGAGAATGGACTATCCTAGAAGAATATATGGCTTACCTTTGTCTGGTTTCAAGTTTTCACCAAATATCTAAACTCCAAAGAATTTTGATTGACATTGCCAAAAGGGCAAGGGATTAGGAAAAGAAAAATGTAATCGAACAAATTTGTGTAGATAGAACACTGAGCTTCCTAAGGGGAAAAACCTGAATGTTAGATTATTATTATATATAGATATATATAACAGTCATATACAATATTACTTTGGCTAATAGCTTAAAAATTTTCTCTTCTACAGATTACCTTGCAAATCATGGCCGGTTGAATGAGTCTGAGGCAAGGCGAAAATTCTGGCAAATCCTGTCTGCAGTAGATTACTGTCATAGTCGGAAGATTGTACACCGTGACCTCAAGGCTGAAAATCTGCTGCTTGATAACAACATGAATATCAAAATAGCAGGTACTGGGATGTGCTCTAAACAATATAAAATTCTACCCATAGTAGTTCATATTTGCTGTGATAGATCAGCAATTGTGGAGGAAAGTAGTTCAGTTTCATGATCAAAGACAGTAAGCAAACAGATTCTAAGCATATTTTCCTTATTCATACTTGGCATTTTGTATAATTAAAAGCAAGGAAAGCATAATTTTGTTGTTAACATAAATGGTAGTGTGCTGGAGGCAAAGTTTTGAGTAATCTACTTCTCATTGTGTGTATATTCTTGAAAGAGAGACACTATTTTATCTTATGTGTTGAATGTTGAAAGTACTCAGAAAGGAGACAGGAGCAGTCCTGAATGTCTCTATCAGCAGTACTTTTAGTTGTGTGATAGCTATAGCTTGGTTGAGTGTAGGAGAGACATGTCAGATGAGAGATGAAGGTGGAAGAATGAAATGAGAAGAGCAGCTTTAGATACATTATACCTTGTCTCAGTCTCTAATAATGTTCTGCTTTTTATGATATTGATATAAAAGATTTGGACTAAATGATCTGTGTAGGTTTCTTTCTAGCATTCCTATTCTGGAATTCTAAGAATCTCTGCTTTTGCGAAGTGTTGTAAAAAGAAAAGATCGCAATCAAAAAATACTTTTAAATTGAGAAAAGCATGAGGTTATGACCACAGGCAAGTCACTTAACTTGTATGTGCATAATTATCCTGTATATAAAATGGGAATAAATGCCTGAAGTACCCATCTCACAGGACTGTTGTGGGATTCAAATGAGATAACGTATATAAAGTGCGTGGTCAACCTGAGAACACTAAAGGGGTGTTAGATGTTATTTTGTTATTGAAGATAATTTTTTAGGTTCTTTCCATCTCTAAAATGCTTCATTTCTATCAAGTATAAATTAATTTCATGCAATGTTATCTTTATATATCCCCCAGAATCCAACACAACTTTTTTGCAAATGGGGGAAGGATGGTGCTTAATTCCATGAATGAATGCATTCAGACCAATTATGTAAGCTAAAGTGATAAGGCAAAGGAGGAATCATCTAAGTTAGGGTTGATCAGGAATGACTTTCTGGAAGAGTTGTGTTTTCCAGGTTGGGTTTTGAAGGACATAAGGGACATGAGATAATAGATGTAAAAGCTTATAAAATTATAAGGTATTGTGATCATACTGAGTGTCAGAAAGAAGCAGAGGGAAACATCCAGGCAAAAGAGAAAGATGAAGGGCAAGTAGATTAAATACCTACTGTAAGAACCACTAAATTCACTGGAAGAATATAACCTCCCCCCCCAAAAAAAATTGTATTAGATCACTCTGTACATTTATATTTGTCTATCAGATGTTTTTTGAATGCCTACTGTGTAAATAGGGAAGTATTATAGGCATTATGGGGGATACCAAGAATGAATAATCATAGAATCCCAAATTGGAAGAGAATTCTAGTCTAGCCCATACCCCAAATCATCTCTTTCTAGTTATCTTCCAGTCTTTATTTAAAGACCTACAGTAAAGGGGAACACCCCCCTTCCCCCACTCAAGAAAACCCATTTTGGGAGCTTTGATTGTTAAGAAATTTTTCTTTATATTATCTGACTCCTGCTACATTCACCTATTGCTACTCATTCTGCCATCTGGGGCCCAGCAAAACAGGTCTAATCACTGTTAGCTCTTCAAATTCTTTTTTTTTTTGTGAGGCAATTGGGGTTAAGTGACTTGCCCAGAGTCACACAGCTAGTGTGTGTTATGTGTCTGAGACCAGATTTGAACTCAGATCCTCCTAACTCCAGGGCTAGTGCTCTATCCACTGTGCCACCTAGCTGCCCCAGCCCTTCAAATTCTTAAAGACAGATAACATAATCATCGTAAGTCTCATAGAACTTCTCCAAGTCAGATATTTCCAGTTTCTTCAAATGATTTTCATGAAATAATCACCAGTCCCTTCACTGTATTGGTCACCTTTTTCTGGAAACACTTCAGTTTGTCAGTGTGCTTCCCAAAGTATAACTTCTAGAACTGGATACAGTATTCCAAATACAGTCTGATATGAACAGAATACAGTGGAACTTAATGTTTTCTTCCTTCTAGACCAGGCCTGCACAACATATGACCCATGGCCTACTTGTGGCCCACCAAAGGATTTTGGGCAGCCCATGAAAAATGTGGAAGATGTAAAAGAAAGTAAAGACAAGTGCTTTGTCTGCTGCCCCTCTTAACCCGCCTTCCTCTAGTCACTATTGTGCCCATCATGTAACTGGGCAGATGGATTGTCACTGTGCACGCTATCCTGTTTGTCACATGATCTGTGGCAACCAACCATCTGTCTCTAGTCTGAGAGGAGCAAGAGTTGTACCTTTTGCTGTGTTTTTGGTCATTTACTAAATGTAAAGAGTAAGAAAACCTCAAAAATGTATTAAAATTTGTACTGCTCAGCAAAGTAATTTTTTTAACATTAATGTGATTTCATGATAAATAAAAATCTTAAGTAAAAGTGTAATTAATTGATATTAATTGAAATTTCCCTTTCTTTAATGTGGTTTATTTGCAAAATAGTTTAATCATCAATTATACTTTTACTTGGAAAGTGAGCCACTAAAAACCTGTCTGTGGCCTGAAGAAGTTCAGCCTGTTTTAATTTTGGCCCCTACCTGCTGCCACATTGTGCAGGTCTATTCTAGACACTATTACTCTGTTAATTAGCTTTTGTGGCTGCCATATCATATTATTAATTCATATTGAGCTTTTGATCCTCAAACTGTTGGGTAGCTATCCCTCCCCATTTTGGACTTAGGCAATCAATTTTTTTTTTTGCCTAAGTATAGAAGTCACCATTTATTCTTAATACCATATATTTGGCCCATTGTTCCAGCCCAAAAATGAACTGAGCTGAGATCCTTGAAGATCTTGATTCTTTGTTATCCAGTATTACATACCCCTCCAAGTTTTTTGTTACCTGCACATTTTATGATTACAACATCTGTCCCTTTATCCTATTGTTATTTAAAATGTTGACTAGCAGAGGGCCAAGAATATATCTCTGAGTTATGCCACTAGAGACTTACTTCTGGGTTCATCTATAATGACTTCTCTTTAAATCTTGTTATTCAAGTGGTTCCAAATTGACCTAAGCGTATTATCATCTAGTCCATATTTCACCATCTTCTCAAGGATAGATGATAGACTCTGACAGCTGCTTTACTGAAGTCTAGGTATACTAAATTAAAAGTATTTTAGTTATCTGCCAATCTAGTAAGGCTGTACAAAAAAAAGAATCGATAATTTCAGTCAGGTTTGACCTGTTTCTGATAAAGCCTCCTTCATGAGGCCTTGTTCTCTACTTTCATAGAGCTTTCCATCTAATAGGAAAGATAAAACACATAACACCAATAATTTTAGTACCAGGTATAACCTAAAGACAGGCAAATTACAAGAGTAGAACAAAGTGCTATTATGTTAGTTCAACTCAACTCAATTTAACTAATTAAGGGCTTACTGTGTTTAAGAACCTACTGTGTGGGCAATGTGCCAAAGATCTTGCTCTCCAAGAGCTTGTAAGTTTTTAGGGACCAAACGCAAGCAATTATGACCCGAGAAAACGTTCATGGGTACAAAGGAAAAGTCTAATTAAAATGAATGCTGTGAAAAATTTAATTAGAAAAAAAATACTTTCAGTTGTCGAGGAAGACTTTATGAAGGAATTGGCACTAAATTGGACTTTAAAAGAAGGCTGGAGAGGGAGTACATGTCAGGCATGAAAACAAGAGAAAAGGATAAAAATGGGAGATGGAGAACAGTCAAGGAGTGTGTGAAGGAGAGTGATTTAAGATCAGAGAGTTATGTTGGAGCTAGACTGTAGAGAGTCTTGAATGCTAGTATCTGAAATTTATATTTAATTCAGCTGGCTGCTTGTTGCCCTTTGTGCTCCAAGAGGACCAAAATGACATGACTGTGTCAGGGTCAAGATACAGCTTGTCCCACTGTGGCTGATCAGACCAATGTAAGCCTGGGGCTTGAACATTTGTAGTGAAAATGTCTCTAAATTTGTGCACCTCCCATTTCTTTTGAGCTACTGAAATTCTGCCTTGCTCATAGAGCACAGCGCCTTCTTTGATATGGGCACACAATACTAAGTAGTCTTGTGCCTGTGTCTCCCATGTCTCACAACCAATTCCAAAGTTCTTCAGAGTGTCTATGTATCACTTCTTCTGACCGCCCGTGAGCACTTGCCTTGTGTGAGTTCTCCATAAAATTGTCTTTTAGGCAAATTTATGTTTGTCATTTGAACCACATGACCAGCCTATTAGAGTTGCACTCTCTGCAGGAGAGTTTGAATGCTTATTATTCAACTCTTATTCAGTACTTTGACAGTATCCTTTCTAAGAATGTACACCTAGATGATGAGGTTGATGCACACATTGCCAGAGCTAGCTTAGTGTGTGGGCTAGGCTTCAAAGGAAAGTGTGGGACAGAAAGTGTTAGGCTGCCTACCAAACTGAAGGTTTACAGATCCCCTGTTCTATGGCAAATGAAACCTGAACAGTATTCTAGTACCATGCCAGGAAAATGAATTGCTTCCATTTGAATTGTCTTGGGAAGATTCTGAAGATTACTTGGTAAGATGAGATACCAGACACTGAGGTCCTTTCTCAAGCTGAACTGCCAGGAATTCAGACTCCAATTCAGATTGCAGTAGAAAGGCACTCTGAAAGAAGAGTGACAGGTTCAGAATGGTTAGGAAGATTACTTAGGCAGGGGTTTGAAAGATAAGATTGGAGACCCTTTGTCTAAACAAATGCTTATTTTAATCTAATCAAACATAGATGTAGGCCTGTACAAGGGTGGTTGGAGCAGGAATGGAAAGGAAGGTGACTCAGATTGGAAAAGATGACAAAAAACAAAAATGAGAATGTTAAAGAAGCATTAGGAAGATACTAATTAACCGCAGGCAGAGCTGTGAATTGGTTTAACTATTCTAGAAAATGACTAGGAATTATACTAAAAATCACT